TTATGGGTCTGGTGCTGTCTCAGCAGTACTCGGTTGCTTCGAAGGCGCGGCGCACGAATGCCATCGATCTGATGCATAGCGATATGGCGTTGGCTGATTGGCTGCAGAATTGTCCGAAGGAAGTATACTGGGAAAGGCCTAGACATCATTTTTGGTCCGCTTTGTTGCATGCCAATTACTAGTGAGTTTTCTTCTCCTTAAGAACTTGATAATTGGCAAGATCCCCATAGCTGACATAATACCTCTTCTGTGAAGCACAACATTGTGTCTACTACATCGTGCACACATGCCCCCAGCCACTTCAATATCTGGAAATTACGGATCGGACGGGATGGCGTATCCGTCCCGCACTATTGCATTCCAGGCCGCTGCCATGATTACATCGATCGTCGAAAATTTGCAAGCACACGGCGAACTTAAATATACCCCGGCATTTATGTAAGTTAAACGACCCATCCCTTGCGTTTCGGTGTTACTACATTGCAAATACCGTTTTCATCATTCCCTAACTTTCCATCCCAAAAAAAAAAAACAAAAAAACAGTGTATATAGCTTATTCTCGGCCCTAATCATGCACGTATACCAAATGCGCTCATCCGTCCCGACAGTCGTCTCCACCAGTCAAGAGCGGATCAATATATGTATGCAAGCCTTAAAGGATGTCTCAAAAGTCTGGCTTGTCGCGAAAATGGTCCACACCCTCTTCGAGTCTATCCTCGGTAACAAAGCGCTCGAAGAACGCCTCCAGAAAGCGGCCGGCAAACGGCATCAACGCACACGACGCGATCAACCGCCTCCCCCCACCGGCCCCGCAGCAAAACGGCCCTCAGAGCCCTCCAAACGCAAATTTGACGACATGGAAATCACTCTCCCCAATGGCCCTCCAGCCCCACAAGAATCCTACGAGCGTTCTCGACCGCAGACACCCGCCGTTACACCGTCACGCGAAATGCCCCCAACACCGATCATCTCAAACATGGGCGCCCCAAACCCCCACCAACCCGCCCAAGCTTCCCCACGCACCCAACAACGACAGCAGCAGCAGCAGCAACAGCAACGCGGTATAACTCACGACGCCTTTCTAGGCGCTACAGGCAGTTCCGGCGGGAACACCCGGCCGACCTCCCCCTTCAACCCCTCCTTCAGCATCCCCGCAACACCCCCCGACCTCTTCCTCGTCACTCGCAACTCCCCCAACATCTCACAGTCACTCTGGGAAAACTTCCAGCCCGACCAGCTCTTCCCTGACGGCACGAATATGTCGTACACAGGCTTCTCCCCACCCGGTCCCGCTATTGACCCACAACTCCAGCCGCAGATGTCACAGCAACAGCAAGCAACAAGCATCGATGATGAGTGGCATGTCCGGCCCCAACGCCCCGGGTCTCAGTCCCTCTCAACAACACCCGCAAGTCGGACAGCAACAGCAGCAACAGCTACCCACGCGCGGCTTGCGCGATAGCTCCACAATGACCATGCATAATATGCACGGGATGGGGCAGTCGATGCAGCCGCAACAGCAACAGCAACAGCAACAGCAACAGCAACAGCAACAGCAACAGCAACAGCAGCAGCAACAACAACAACATCCGGGTGGAGGGGGTTGGACACCCATGCAGACGCTGGATGGACATATGGCGTCCACGACGCTGGATTCTTCGAGTCAAGATGATAATTGGAGCACGAGTTCGAGGGGACAGATGCCGATTCCGCCGACGTTGAATGTGGAAGATTGGTGTGTTTCTTTTCATTTCTTTTCTCTTTTATTTTCCTCTCTTCCTCTTATGAGTTGGTTTTTGGGGTGGGTGTTTTGCTAACATGTTCTTCGTTTGGTGTAGGTTCCAGTTTTTCGGAATAAATGCTGGCGTAGGTGATTTGGGGTAGGCATTGTGATAGATGTTTTTTCCTTCAAATCTGGCGAATGTGAGATGAAAAGGCTTTGCATTTGATATGGTATTGTGTATTGTGCAAACTGACGAGGAAACAGGCCATTCAACCAAAGGTGTCATTCTTATATTGACATAATACCTTTTATCTGTATATGTATACTTGTATAATGTATATATGTGAGATATTTTGCTATGATTCCCACCTACTTTTTAGCTCTAGCTGCCCAAGAATAGATGTCATAATATTAATGTTTTTTGTGTTAACAATGATTGTTCCAAAAGAATAACTGAAAGAGGTTTTGTTTGTTTATATCCACGATTCCACCAATTAAAGAATTAAATGTTTGAGAATTGACAACATGCCATCTGTGCTTTACAATCAATACTCACCATTTATTTTTTAAAATATAGGTAATTATTTCTACAGTGTCTGAAAAGACTCTCTTTAAATAACGTAGTCCGACACCTAACCGATCACGACACCTAACCGATCAAATTTTCGTCCCAATCACCCACTCTATTAAATCATTCAATATGACAGCCACACCTAGCAAAAAACCTTCTAATCAAGAAGCCAGGCTCTTATTAGCTATTAAAGATTATGAAACTAAGCAAATTTCATCTATTCGCGTTGCTGCTAAGACGTACGAGCTTCCTTATACTACGCTTTACGATAGATTACGCGGTGGAACCACGTACACGAATGCTCAACTAAAAAATCGAAAGCTGACCTCTACTGAAGAGGAATCTCTAGTTCAATGGATACTCTCTATGGATGAGAGAGGACAGCCTCCCCGGATCGCGACCGTACGAGAAATGGCTAATCTACTACTTGAGGCGCGAGAATCCACTACTACAACTACCGTGGGAGGAAGATGGGTAGAAAGATTTTATACAACGGCATTCTGAACTAAAGACGAAGTTCTCACGCAAGTACGACTATCAGCGAGCTCAATGCGAGGATTCAAAGATCATATACGAATGGTTTACCCTGATGGATCGTACGATAAAGAAGTATGGAATTACTTCAGAGGATATCTATAACTTTGATGAGATTGGCTTTACAATGGGGGTTATTTCAACATCCTGGGTGGTTACTAGAGCTGAGAGAGCTGGCAGGCCATCTCTTTTACAGCCAGGGAATAGAGAATGGGCAACTGTGATCGAGGCAGTTAACGCTACGGGCTGGGCTCTACCTCCTATGATTATCTTTAAGGGCAAGCTTCATCAAGCCTCCTGGTACAAGCAGCTGCCAAAGGATTGGACAATTGGCGTTAGTGAGAAGGGATGGACCACGGACGCTCTTAGCCTTGATTGGCTGCGGAAGGTCTTTAACGGAGCTACTAAAGCTTGTACGAAGGGCAGATATAGACTGCTTGTGTTGGATGGGCATGGCAGTCATGCCACGGCCAGATTTGATAAATTCTGTCTGGATCACGGCATTATATCATTATATATGCCTCCACACTCCTCTCATTTATTACAGCCACTAGATGTGAGCTGCTTTTCACCATTAAAGAGAGCGTACGGCAAGAGGGTGGAACAAAGCGTGAGACTAGGAATCAGTTATATTGACAAGGAGGACTTTCTAGCCAGCTATACAACAGCTAGACAGGAGGCTATGAAGGATATAACTATAAAGAACGGATTCAAAGCCACAGGCCTAGTGCCATACAATCCAGATGAGGTTCTTACTCGCCTACATACTCAATTTCATACTCCTACCCCCCCGGGGTCAGCTCACGGATCTCACGGATCTCAATCCTCCTGGACCCCCAAGACCCCTCGCAATGTGACTCAGTTGGAGCGGCAGAGCAGCAGAATCAAACGCCGTACGGAAATTCTCTCTAGTCCTACAAATCAGGCTCTTGATCAACTAGTGAAGGGATGTCATACGGCCATGCATAATGTTGCTTTACTGACCAAGGAAGTCATGGAGCTGAGAGCTGCCAATGCTAAGCAGAAGCGTAAGAGAGAGAAATCACGTTTCTATATAGCTAAGGAAGGAATCCTTACGGCTCAAGAAGCTCTAGCTAGGATGGCTAAGCCTCTGGAGCCTCCTGAACGTACGGAGGTTTGGATGGAGGATCCAAATCCGGAAGGTAGAAAGCGAAGACCTCCCACCTGCAGCAAGTGTAATACACCCGGACACACTATTAGGCAGTGCCAACAGACCTAAGGATCTAATCTATATAATTTCTATATAAAATCTCTCGTGGTTGTTGCTCAATTTAAAAAATTGTCAAATAAGGATGAAAATTTGATCGGTTAGGTGTCGTGATCGGTTAGGTGTCGGACTACGTTAGACTCAACCATCTGCTGCTGACTCAGCAGCTATCTGACCGGAGTTGAACTACCAACTTCATCATTCAGCCGCGATATCTTCAACTTCAACTTCACCATATCACTTAATGTACTTACGAGATACACAAACTAGAGGCCATATTGGCAGTCAGATACAAGGAATATTGAGTCTATTGCTACTGCAGAAGGATATATACCGCCCCTATTCCACGTTCTACGCCACGAAGTCTCCGTGTCTAGCTCAACCTTTGCCCAAGCTACCTACGCAATTGCCGCTAGGCAAGTAAACATCCCGACGCGTTTTAAAATAGCGAAGGAAAGGACAGGGTTGGTTAGTTTAAGTTCACCTACATTACATTCGGGATAATTTTGGGAGAGGTTCTACAGCTAAATGCTCTGGTTATCCGACTCTTGATTTGAGCCTGAGGCCTGCGACAAACTTTTGCATTCCAAACCATCAGCCTATATCATTAATATATAGTCAGACGACAATCGGTCGTCATAATATCCCTCAGAACAAATCTTACGATCCAACGATATTCAGATGTCCTGCCCCTGCTGCATGGTCATCTATGATACCCCGCTGAGTGTACACTCGGAGACGTCAGCCGTTCTGTTTTCGGTTCACGGCCCATTGAAATGTCCGCTGAGGTAGTCAGACATTGACGAAATTGAAGAAGACGGAAAGACTATTGTGTTACGTTTCCCATAGGACAAATTACAAGCGAACGGCGGGTAATCAGGAATTTTGACGAACGAAGACAAGGCATACTGGCAGGAACAGGAACAAAGCCATATGATTAAGGAATGACCAACAATACCAACCAGGCCGATGTCTTCAATTCCGCAACCTCCAGAAGAACCGCAAGTTTGAATCCCTTATCCACTGTTCGCCCACGTAATCGACGCTTGATCTCCCTAGTTGATGATGATAACGACGACAATGTCTCTGGAACAACCGCCACAGACCATCCAAGCACAGCTACTGGGCTAAGAGCTGATAATGTCTCCTCTAATTCGTTTTTAACGCCCACTGCCTCCCGATCTCAGGCTAGCACCCCATCTCCATCCGCAAGCAGAGGTCCATCCAGTACACAATCAAGCTCGTCGAATAGGGTCCAGCCGTCAAGTAGTACGAAGTTGGGAAATGGATGGACAGACACACGACTGAATAAATCGACAGGCCAGTTTGCAGCAGAGTTTTGGGAATCGTCGTGGTCATCACTGCAGGGGCTGGCGTCGATCGTGTTGGGGAATGGGGATGTCTTGGGGAAGGTGAAACCGTCCACGTCGACATCAGGCAGATACCAACATGGGCGGAAGCCGTCGAAACCGGATTTTGTTCCAAATTCGAAAAGTGGCCCTTCGTCATGGGGCCCGACAAATTTCCTTAATAAACAGTTAGGATCAGGGTCGAAGGAAGAACGGCAGTCGATGATACAGGCGCTGAAAAGACAATCCCTTCTCCAAGCTAATGGGGATGCCACGCCGGATAGTTGGGGAAATTACAAACGAAGGGATTCTGGGGATGCACTCCGGGGCGCTTCCGCCCCACCTCCAGAACTGGAGGACGCAGATACTTTGGTATATGTGCACCATGTCCAGAAGAACGACAGCATCACTGGAGTCTCCATCAGGTATGGCTGTCAGCCAACTGTTATGAGGAAAGCCAATGGATTCTGGCCTAGTGATACTATACAAGCTAGGAAGACTGTTCTTCTTCCAGCTAAAGCCTGCACGCTCAAAGGCCGTCGACTTCCTGAGAAGGAAGAGAATGTTAATCTCTTGGAGAATCTTGATAATACGAATGACCCATTTATGGATTATAGTTCATTGGATCCAGGCTCCACGCCTTTCCCTACATTTGGATACGGAGAGTCTTATTTACGAGGTATTTGTGCCGCATCAGCAGTATCGTCGATATCAGGCAAGTCATCGAAGCAGGCACTGCAATGGAAACACGAATGCTGGGTGCAGGTCGACGGATTTCCAGATGCTATTGAAGTCGGCCGCGTACCCCGGAAAGCTTTAGGGTTTTTCCTTCCACGAGTAAGGCGAAAATCTCTAGACCAGCCTTATTCCGACTTAGAAGATAATTCCCGTTCTCCCTCTCAAGATCAATCACTCGATACAAGTACGGGAAGACCCCCATTCCTTTGCACATCAAACTCCAGCACCCGCGACCACTCCGTATCCAGCTCAAAACGCCTCTCAGCCCCACGCATCCACGGGCAACGCAGCAGCTTCACCCTCACCGGCCCTGGTGGCGTAGGAACACTAGGCCGTAATGCAAAAGCCCCCGGCCCCGCCGAAGATAAACTCAACCAATTCATAAACACGCACCTACCAACCCTAGCCGTGCCCCCACCGCCACCGCTTCAATTCCCCTCATCGTCCTCTGTTAGCAACTATGCGCGCCCCTCCATTGAATCTACTTCAACCGTCATCTCCAACTCGTCCACGGGCCTGGAGAATGTGGGAGGTGCCATTGAAAGCTGGGTGCGCAAGATGGCGCGCAGCGCTAAGGCGGGTGTTACGGAGTTGCAGCATCAGGGTAGCCATTTGGGTATTAGCGGGATGGGCGATTTGATTGAGTTGAATGATACACCGCCGTATGGGAAGGGCCCTGCTAGCCGTAGCGGTAGTGCTGGTGCTGGCATGGCCTCGCCGATTAGGAGTGGGGACCGCCGTGCCGTTGTTTACCAAAGCCCTTCTCGTGTTTCAACCAGGTCTGAAGAGGCAATTGGGCCGTTGGATTTGGCAGATGGAGGTACCGTGAGGGGTAGAAGAGTGAAGCGAGAAGACTGACGAAGTTTTGTTTGAATTGTATTCTGGAGTGGTCGAATGAGAAGTGATGGGTGAGACACGGAGAGTCTACTTTGGCATCAGATATTAACTGCGATTACTCATGTTATTGCGTTTCTCCCTGTTTCTCCATCAGTGGTCTGTTGTGTGTTTTACTTGGAAGAGACTGGCTTTTTCCCTCTTCTGCTTCACTCCTAGCTCTTATTCCAAGAAAAAAGACAAAAGAAATTTTCTTAATACTTAATCACATGCACAAAACATTATGGGATTGTTTTGATCAACATAGATGTGACTATTCTTTTTATTTACTTTGACCCTAGGTTGGTAAGCTCCCTCCTTACTGGCTCTCTCTATGGTATTTTATTTATTTTAATTTTTTTTGGCTTTTTTATTTGCGCGTTTCCTTTCTCAACTGTCTTAAGTTCTTTAGCCATACCCACTCTTTGCCTCAGATTAAGCAGTTCTCTATTGTTTGTTTATAGTAATGTAATGTAATGAACTGTGCATGTCCTATGCCTCAATCATTGTGTATCAATGTTGATTCATTCATAGTTGTAAGCCTTGCATTTTTGCAATTGATAAAGAAGTTTTAGATTATCATCACAGTTCAGATGGTTTAGCTCTATCGCATAATTCAGCAAACTTTGTCATAGTTAATTAAAAAAAGAAAATTATTGTTATGCTAAAGACTAATGAATAATAACTTTCTTTACTTACTCTGTATTATAATTTTCATTTCTGATGACCCATTTCTCTACTTTGTTCATAAAGTGATGAAATCTAATATCATTCTCTAATACTCTGTATGCATTTAGCACTAAAATATCTTAAACAATCTGATGTAATTTATGTGTATCTCATCAGATCTCAATCTCGCAGTGAATAAATAAAGTTGCTAAGTCTCATCATGAATCATGGATCAAAAACACCTGCTTATTGATCATTACTGACTGGGATAATCCCTTGTAATTTCAATACTGGAACTTCTTATGCACTTGTGAATTTCAATGTATAAGTTAAATATTGATTTCTCTACTCTCAGATGCCAGTTATATTTTAAAATTGATAAGGTTCTAGGCAAAATATGTCAGACATTTCCATCATATGATCTGTTTTCCATCATATATATATAATTGCTTTTGTAGTATGCAAACTCCGCAATACATCAAACTTACCATTCTGTCAGATTTTAAGACCTGTTTGTTCTTAAACACAGTTAACTCAGAAGTTATCTTGTTGAAATCAGTGACTGCTTGCTTCATTTGATATACAGATCATTTTATTTATCTTTTACTCTTTCTATTTGATAAAGTTCTTAATACATTTTTGAATCTTTAGTAATATACAAAGAAGATATAATATACAAAGAAGATAAAATTTTATAAAATATTTTAACTTACAAATAATCTTAAAAAATATGTATTTCAATAAAATAATTTTTTAAAAATTGTAAAACTCTTCTGAAAGCTCTTTTTATCTATATATTTTAATTTTTTAATCAATTAAATCTATAATAAAGATATCTAATTTAATGAAATTATCTTCTATTATATATTTATAATACTAAATACAGATAAATTCAGATAAATCAATTACTTCAAATCAATTTTCTAGATTTTAAAAGATTTTTATTAGATTTTTAAGCAGAAGGAACTTTTACTGTTAAATTTAAAAAAATCTACTTAAAATTTTTTATATTTATATTAATTTACTCTATTATTATTTTTGTAAATATGTTTATTATCTTTTTAGTAAATCTCTAAATATACTTTCTATCTGAGATTTTACTTTAATGAAGTTTTATTTTTTTTATCTATATATCAAGTTTTTAATTCTTTCTATAATCAGATTCTTTATATTTATTTCTCTTATATAAATTTTTTTAAGTTTACTTTTTCTCAACTACAATCTCTTCTATTTAAATATATTAAAAAAAAATTTATTATATTAATAAAATCTTTAAAATATAAATTCTTTAATATACTTAAATCTCTACTATATATAAATTAAATTTTTAGCCTTATAAGTTTTTTATATTTATAAACACTTATATTAGTGATCAAGTACTACAAATATTTTATTTATTCAAATAATATTCTTTCAATTCTTCAGAGTTCAATTCTTGTGATTAAGTGTAAATTTAACTTTTTTTTGTTTTACAGCTTTAGTTAAACTAAACTTTCAAGTAGATTTAACAATTGCAAAGCTATTTTTATGCAGAATTCTCAAAACAGTATTGTGAGAAATACTCAAATCATATATCAGAATCTCAGTCAATTTCTCTTGTTCATTTCAATCTTTGATGACTATCTCTATTATATAAGGTTTCTTAAGAGCTGAAATCGCTTTTGAATGATCTGAACAGAGGAAATTCTTGATATAATGTTTCTCAATTCACAGACCAACTTTTGAATCATATTTTCACTCAGTGACTCACTGTTGAATCTTTTCAACTGTGTGATGGCGTAGAACAGGCTCCATCCAGACCACTCGACAACGTAAGGCTGCTGGGCTGAAAAGGGTAATTGCAACTGCCTAGCAACGGCATAGCAACCACCCCACAATTACCCCACAGAAACTGCCCACAACGACCTAGCAACCGCGCTAAGGAAAGGAGTAATGTGTTAATGATAATGCGCTAAGGGAAGAGTTATATAAACAGAGCCTTCCCCGGACCCGTGTTTTAGGAACCATCTTAGTATTTCGTCGAAATAGCTTACCTAGTTGGCAATCAAACACCTGTTTACCTGCGCCTAGATCGAAGCCGTGACAAACTGTATGAAAACGGATTTGAAGCTGAAGTCCAGTTTCAAGAGCAGTATAGCCAATGCTCACTAGAGTGAGAGCTTGAACTTGCAGTTCAATAGAATGGTGTGGCATAATTGCATTTGTAGAGGTTAAAGCAGATGTTGAAAAAGGCTTTGAATATAGAATTTTGCAAGTTATTTACTCAAATGAGGTAGGTTGTTGAGGTGGGAATCAAGGATAGAAGAACAAAAGTGCGGAGTATAGAGTATTTGTTTATTTATTGAATATCAAAGCTACTTCCTAATCATGCTGCTGCGCAACCCACACCTCATGTGGGTGCACCACACCAAAACAATAAAAACATCAAAATGATAAAAATCTTGCAATTTCATCATTTTTATAATCTTCATCAATTAATAACTCACCACAATGTCAAATAAGGATAAAAATATCAAAGACTGTATTCAAAAAGCTATCACTTATTATCAAAAAAACTCAAATTTCAAAATACTGTCTTTGTCATGAGAATTTGAGATTTCTTATCAAGGTCTTCAAGTGCATATCAATGGAAGAAATTTGAATACTGCTAAGATTCCAGTTAACAAAAGATTAAATAAGAGTTAGAAAAATGTAATTAAATGATGAATCAAACTGTTTAATGAAAAGAATTATTCTTTTACAGCTGAACATATTAAAGATTTTGCAAATTCAATACTTAAATGTCAGCACATAGATTCTACTACCTCTTCTTCAAAAATCAGCAAGATGTAAATTTATATATTTATTGAACATCTATCTGAGTATAAGAGAGTGAAACAAAAGTCAATAGATTCAAAGAGACTGGCAATTGAAGATATTGAATATATCAATACATGATTTGAACATCTTTGAATTCTATTTGAGCAGTATCAATTTCATGTCTGTGACACATACAACTTCAATAAGATTAAATTTCAAGAAGAACAAGGATGTGAAAAATGAATTATAACTACTTTTAAAGAAGCTAATTTCATTATTTTTTTTTTATTTTTTTTAAGAGATTTGATTACAGTCATTGAATGTATATTCATAAATAACTATATCATTTCATCATTGATAATCTTGATCTTCAAAACAAATTTGAAAAATTGATATACACAGATATATTTACTCAGTAATTATAGAATTGCTATATCAAATACTAAATTTACAAATGATGAGATTGAATTTGAATGATTTAAATATTTTAATACTGCTATAAAAAAAAGATAGAAAAAAAGTTATTAATTACTTTTAATAAATAATCATAAATCTCATATCACTGAGAAGTTCATACAATACATAAATCTTCATAAGATAATTTTATATAAATTTTCATTACATGTCACTCATTTGCTACAATCTCTGAATAATCTATCATTTCAGCAATATAGATGTTATCATTCAAAAGCAATCAACTATGCCACATATCATGGTTTTATTAAATATGAAAAACAGTAGTTTCTACAAGACCTCTCAGCTATATGAAAGCAGATCTTTAAATCTGATACAATAGCTGCAGAATAAGCTCAACATGGCATATATTCATGGAATTTTGACTGAGTTCTTGACACTTTTAAGCAGTGAATCTCATCATCTTCTCCACTGCAGATTTATGAAGATGAGAATGATTCAAATCACATATTAATATCTTTTTCTTAGCTGTTCTCATTAAAGACAATTCAAAAGCTGAAACATCATATTAATATTATGAAAAATGCTATACAAAGTATTAGAGATACTCTTGATTTGAAATCACTCATCTTGACATATTGTTTGAACAAAATATTCAAAGCAAGTCTAATTAATGCAGAACTTAATGAGCAACAGATCAATGAATTAAAAAATTTTCTCAATGCCAGTAAACATCATAAAGCTAAAACAACTCATCATCAGATTCAAGTAGAGGAAGTTCTCACTATTAAAGATGCCAATAGAAAAACAAGCAGTGTAAAAATAATGAAGCTGAAAAAGAGCAGAATAAAAAGTGATGAAAACTTGAAGTTAATCTTATAAAAATTGATAATAACTCACTCACATCACTGATAGAAGAGAAATTAAATCAATTTAAAAATGACACACATACTGAGAATGATGTAGATAATCTTTTTATTATAGATTAGCTACTGGTTGTTGATATAGAGTGCAATAATGAGAATGTGATTCAAAGATTTTTATCATTTCAGTGTTTTTATCATTTTGGTGTGGTGCACCCACACAAGGTGTGGGTTGCACAGTAGCATGATTAGTGAGTTATTTTTTCTAATTCTCCGATTACCAAAATTAGTCGGAATCCACAATTTATTTAGTATTTATTACATATTTTAAGTTTCGGTTAACGGTATTCGCTGGAAACGGCTCCAATAGCTCAGCGGTTAGAGCGTGCGATTGCAGATCGCAATGTCCCTTGTTCGAATCAGGGTTGGAGCTCAACTTTGGATCTCTTTTTCCCCCCCTCAAGTATTATCTTTCTATTTCTTCTCGCTCTCCCGTAATTTTTTCTATTTCTTCTTCTTCTTGTTTTTCGGCTGGGTCATTCGACGGAGAAATCTTCTGTGTCTACGATGAGGGTGAAAATTTCAGGCTGATATTCACTTGCTTCCCCTCTGGCCCCAGTATCCTTTAGTTATGTCTACTTAGAAGCCGACCTATTACGATTGATCCCAATCGATGTCTTATCCTTCTATATTCTAAGAACTTCAAAGACTCTTCTCTGTCGATTTACAATCAGCCGTAACTGTCTACCTCTCCACGAATCATCAGACGACTCAGGCTGGCCGGACTCTTGTCTGGGTGCGAATACCCCTTTGCGAAGGGTTTTCGTGAAAAGTTCGTACGAGGGATAGTCTGTGTAAGGAAACATGACAGCGGATGTTAGATACACGTCTGCCTCAACATCTGCTGGTTTGGATGGGGTATCTACGTTGGAAGATGAAGGGAATTAAAATGTCGACGGTGAACATACATCCATCAACAAACTTATTAACTTGCTCAACTGTCATTCCCGACCCCTTCACCGCAATCAGGTTTTGCTCTTGCTCCTGGCGCCAGTCATATACGAAATGGGTATCCTCAGCATCACTGGTTAGATCTGGGTTAGCTGTTTGCTATCCGTTGATGGACTTGGGATCATATGCTGGCGGTTGCTGTACGTACATGTGTATAAAAGCATCTAGCTGACTAGTATCCCGGTTATACAGTTAGCATTACAAATCACAAACTTGCCGCATCACGCAGCTTGCAAATGGTGAGAGAAGGGAAGTGAGAGAAAGAAAGAAAGCTCAACTCAGTAAAAGCATCATAGCCCCTCAACGCATCATTGATCACCTTTACATCTTCAAACCTAACATATCCCAGTCGACCCCTGTACCCCACTAAATCCTGTTTACACTGTTGCACAGCATACTCCCACACCTTGCGAATTTCTTCCTCCGGACGAGCTCGAAACCCAACACACCAACCCTCGAATATCACCACCTTAACCGGCCTTTGGCCAGCAGAAACATCGTTGACGATCTCCCACCTGCTTTCCGGAATTCGATCACCCTGTCCATTAAAAGCCGACTTATCATATGCAGGTATTTTGGTGGGTAATCCTCGGCGGAGGGAACTGAAAATCCACTTGCCAAGAGGGATGTCGTGCGTGGAGGGCTGGCCACGGTGTTGGAGGAGGGGGTTTGAAGGATGCGAGGCAGCCAGGCGTAGTTGATCTGTATGGTTGAGATAGATGTCATCAAGGGAGAAGGCTATCGTGGGGAGATTATATGGTGGAGAAGAGAGGGTGGAGCGCAGTATGGCGACCTATATATTTATATGGCTCTGGCCGATCAAATGGGGTCGGCACGCCCGTATTAGCGGCTAGTAGAGCATCGGGAAATCGCGAACGGTGATGTTTGTCTATGGTAGAGTTGGACTTGGGATATTCAAGTCTTTTATGTTCTCATTTCTTTTTTGACGCGAACTAATTTCCCCCAAACCCCATCCCACCAAGGTTATCTGCATTGAATGGGGGAGAGAAGAACACTACCTTACCAAAACTGTCTTCCCCACACCTTGGACGCCATTAAGTCCGACGAAGAAGGGCGGAGGATTGGAATCATGTGCATGTCTTTGTCCGTGTAATTTCAATTGCTCCAAAAGAAATGGAAGGCAGTATTGAGACTTGTCGTCAATTATTCCGGCCATATTGTAAATCGAAAGCAAGCAAGTCTTATTAAGTCTTGCTTGCATCCTGGAGATTCTGTAGAATGAACATGCCGCTCAACGGTAATCTGGTTGCGATAGAGAAAGTCACATGATGCCAAGTAAAAATCTAACTTTAAGGTTTCGACTAATATCCCTTGAACAGGCTAGTCAGCGATTCAAATTAAACTTCTAGATTTGGATTTCGCCTTGGCATCAATGGCACGTGATATCATCGACACCAAAATCTAAACGACTTTTTGAAAAACAAATCCTGGATGCATGGAAAATGAAATAGTTTGTGGGCCGGAGCTATATTTTTCGTAGGTGTGAAGGAGTTTATTTTTGAATGTCAACCAAGTAAGCAGAAGTACTCCGGATGCAGCTTCCGAGACAACTCCCGTACACTGGGATATTGCGTTCCCTCGTAAGGCCCAGAGTGCGCTGCCCGGCCATACAAAAACCGAGCTTTGGTTACCGGAGACTTGCCCCTGTACAACACCCAAGGTTCCATGGTTGGGTTGACGCTTCTTCACATATTGCAAAAGCTGTTGAAAGGCTTTCCGCGGGGCAAGGTTCACATGCAACATTCATTGAAGACCCCCGCCCCCGCTGCAGAACTGCACCTGCCATGGCTTTCATTAGTCATCTACTTCCAAACTGTAATTTACACAAATGGCCACAAACTCCGTATGGTACTGTTATTCAATACTTCCTTCCGAGGAACCTCTCTCTCATTGGAATGTATGGTAATGATACTACTACCTCGATACCGGACTAATAATTTACCTTCCGCGGTTCTGTGAGCCGAGGTCCAAGCAAGCCGAGCCTGGAGAACTGCTTGCGTTCAGCAGTACAAGAATCCGAGATTTATTCCACCTTCACCATCCCGACATTGAACATCCGACATCCACCTCTCTCTCGTCTTCTTTATCTCCTCCCTTTTGTTTAATAGCCAGCTCACTGAGTTCTATAACCCCGCCCCGTTGGCTCATGAGAACTGTTTTCCTTTCCACACCCTATTTATAACTAGCAGCTAATCTCCTCATTTTACTCTGACCCTTCGTCTTTCTTTCCCCGATCTCTCTGTTGTGGACCATTCCTTTTCTCCTCACATTATAGGCTTCTGGCCCTGCTATTCAATATGTCTGAACTTCGCTTTGATAACCAGACCGTCGTCATCACTGGTGCTGGCGGTGGTCTGGGTAAAGCATACGCTCTGTTCTTCGGCCAACGGGGTGCCAACGTCGTCGTCAATGACTTGGGTGGTTCTCACACCGGTGTCGGGGCTTCGTCTAAGGTATGTCTTCTCGAGGAGTTCAGTTTGTCTTTCTTGGAGATTGTCTAAAAAGATGTGATTGCAGGCTGCCGATGTCGTTGTGGATGAGATCAAAGCCGCTGGCGGAAAAGCCGTGGCCAACTACGACAGCGTTGAGTTTGGCGAGAGAATCATTGAGACTGCCATCAATGCCTTTGGCCGCATCGATATCCTGATTAACAACGCCGGTATCCTACGGGACATCAGCTTTAAGAATATGAAAGATCTCGACTGGGACTTGATCAACAAGGTACACGTCTTTGGTTCTTACAAGGTACGATTTCACACACTATCTACCATGAATTGTATTTGGATAACTTGGAGATCAAGATATAACTCCCGAGTCTGATATAGTGCACAAGAGCTGCTTGGCCATATTTCCGGAAGCAGAAGTTCGGACGAGTTATTAACACTTCTTCGTCTGCTGGTCTCTTTGGAAACTTTGGACAAACTAATTATTCCGGTTTGTAACCTTACCAGGGGATACCATCTAGTTTTTCTCTGAGGGGAAAATATATTCTAACTGTCGTATATATAGCTGCAAAACTTTCTATGGTTGGCTTTACTGAAACTCTGGCCAAGGAGGGGGCGAAATATAACATCCTGGCCAACGTCATCGCGCCTATTGGTACGTGGGCCCTAATATTCTCCTGTTTTCTGGAACACATGTGTTAAACGATCAGTAGCTGCCAGCCGTATGACAGAGACAGTCATGCCCCCAGATGTATTGGAGCACCTGAAGCCCGACTGGATTGTGCCTTTAGTAGCTGTTCTTGCCCACTCCTCCAATACCTCCGAATCTGGCGGTATCTTTGAAGTTGGTGCTGGTCACATGGCCAAGCTGCGGTGGGAGCGTGCCAAGGGTGCTCTATTGAAAACTGATGCTTCCCTCACACCACAAGCCATCCTAGCTAAATGGAACGACGTCAAGGATTTCTCAGAGCCAAGCTATCCTACTGGCCCCGCGAACTTCCTCGAGCTGTTGGAACAAGCGCAGAATGTTCCAAGCGCTCCCGCTGCCCAGAGCTTGGATTTCACCGGTAAGGTTGCGCTTATCACTGGCGCTGGAGCTGGCTTGGGCAGAGCTTATGCTTTGCTCTTCTCTAAGCTTGGGGCTGCCGTCGTTGTCAACGACCTTGTTGACCCAGAATCTGTTGTTCAGGAGATCAGAAAAGCCGGCGGCAGGGCCGTTGGCTCCAAGGCATCTGTTGAAGATGGTGAGGCAGTTGTTAAACCTGCGATTGATGCGTTTGGACGCATTGATATCCTGATTAACAATGCTGGTATCCTCCGTGACAAGGCTTTCACCAACATGGATGACAACCTATGGAACACAGTCATGAACGTCCACCTCAGGGGTACATACAGTGTTACCAAAGCTGCTTGGCCCTATTTCTTGAAACAAAAGTACGGCCGTATTGTCAACACCACCAGCACTAGCGGTATCTACGGAAACTTTGGACAGGCCAACTATGCTGCTGCTGTAAGTTTCCTGCTCTTCAACCAGATGGATTATGTTGTCGCTAACAATAACAGAAACTCGGCATACTAGGATTCTCTCGTGCCTTGGCCCTTGAGGGAGCCAAGTACAACATCTTTGTCAACACCATTGCTCCCAATGCCGGTACCCAGTTGACCCGGACCGTCATGCCGGAGGAACTTGTTCAGGCCTTTAAGCCCGAATATGTCGCTCCGCTAGTTGTCCTTCTATGCTCTGACAAGGTACCAGAGCCCACCAAGGGCTTGTACGAATGTGGGAGCGGATGGTTCACCAAGACCAGATGGCAGCGCAGCGGTGGACATGGATTTCCCGTTGATACTAAACTTACACCCGAAGCCGTCAAGTCCGAATGGAAGAAGATTGTCACATTCGACGCACGTTCCGATCATCCCGAAGACGGCCAAGCCGGCATGAAGAGCATCATGGCCAACATGAGCAATGTCAGCGGTGGTAAGGAGGGAGGATCCACGGGCGACAAGAAAATCTTGGCTGCCATTGAAACTGCCAAGAACATGAAGGCTGAAGGTACCCCCTTGGACTATGTCTCCCGGGATGTCATCCTTTATAATGTCTCCCTTGGTGCCAAACGCACAGACCTTCCCTTCGTCTACGAGAACGACTCGAACTTCCAAGCTCTCCCTACCTTCGGTGTCATCCCTTGGTTCAACACCATCACCCCCTGGAACCTCGACGACCTTGTCGCCAACTTCTCTCCCATGATGCTCCTACACGGAGAGCAGTATCTAGAGATCCGCAAATACCCCATCCCCACAGCTGCCAAGACCGTCTCCATTCCCAAGCTCATTGACGTGATCGACAAGGGCAACGCAGCCATCGTCGTCGTAGGTTATACCACCAAGGACGCAAAGACGGGCGACGATCTCTTCTACAATGAATCGACGATTTTCATCCGCGGAAGCGGTGGCTTTGGCGGCTCCCCCAAGCCCACCGCCCGCCGTCCTAAGGCTGCCACTGCTGCCTACAAGCCACTTCAGCGCAAGCCGGACACCGTCGTCGAGGAGAAGACCTCAGAGGACCAGGCTGTCCTCTACCGTCTGAATGGGGACTACAATCCACTCCATATCGACCCCGAATTTAGCAAAATTGGTGGTTTCAAGACTCCCATTCTCCACGGCCTCTGCTCCCTGGGCATCTCTGGTAAGCATGTCTTCAAGACCTATGGTCCCTTCAAGAGCCTTAAGGTTCGGTTTGCCGGTGTCGTGCTCCCTGGCCAGACGCTGAAGACCGAGATGTGGAAGGAGAATGGCGCCGTTGTGTTCCAGACCACTGTTGTGGAGACTGGAAAGCTGGCTATTGCGGGCGCTGGAGCCGAGCTTGTCTCGACTGGCTCGAAGTTGTAAAAGAGCGGTTGGAGAATGATGATGAGGTTGAATAGCACAAGCTTTCCTATTCCCTGGTCCTATGTCTATTGGTTTGTATCTATATTCTAAACGCAATTTGTTATATAAAGGCTTTCATTGCATCTCTAATCTGTCTTGTCTATCATTTTTCGTATATATGTATATAGTTTCTTGATCCCAGGCTATTTTCCCTCTCTTCCTTGATAACTACTATAACAGTATATAGTTTTATATGGGTTCACTTCAGATGTTGAATCTAAAATATACTCCATCGTTGTGATAAGACGTATGTCAAGATCTAGATAAGTAATCTATTTATTGAAAGATACTAGTTACCACATTAACATAACTAATGATATCTAAGTTAAGGAGTGGATGACATAATGTAAGCGATCACTGAGTTGGCCACTTCCCCATCTTATATTCAAGTAATCTTTAAATTTTATCACCATTATATCTAATGAATTACACATTATATGTGGTATGGTTGGTCATCCATTGTGGGAGGATGGTGCGGTTACCGGGCGGTCATGCCCAACCCCCCACGCACCAACAGGCGAGATGTCTCCGCGTATTCAAAGCTAGCTATCCAGAATCTAACTGAAACATGCAACTGCTAGGAAGCACTCAATTAATAAGAAAATGATGTGCTGATGTTATAATGACTTGCAACTCATGCAGAATGAAGCAGTCTTCTGACATAAGAAGAAGCTCTCAAATCAGTAAAAATAAATACTTCTACTTTATATAGAGAAGCTTACAGCTCACAGCTTTGCTTCTATATCTCAAATTATTTGAAATCTTATTGCAGAAATCATCAAAGAATCTGTTGAAATTCACTGAGTAAGATACTTTACTAAGAACTATAAAACTCAAATTCAAATAATTCATGTCTATGATATTGATCAAAAATGTAAGATAGTAGATAATTCTACTCATTTTGAGCATTATTTTTAGCTAGTATAATAATTTTTTTATTTATTTTTTTCATTAAGTTTTCTATAGACTCTTGCTAACTATTTTGCTACATGACTATATAGTGGAATGAGAAGATCAAAAAATACAATATTAAGTCATCAAATATCTACAATTTTGATGAAAAGATCTTTTTAATTGACATTGATTAGACTATTTGATGAATTGTTTCAGTTGAAGCTTTGAAGACAAAATGAATTACTGTAGTTCAAAATAACAGCTGTGAATTTATCTCTCTACTTGCAGCAATATATGAAGAAAGAACAGCTCTTCTATCTGTTTTTATTTATCAAAAAATATTTTATGATATGTTAAATACATAACTAGAGAATCTGAATGAGAATAATATAGCTTATTTTATAATTTCTAAGAAAAATGAAAGTAATGATGACTATGAGCTTAATTAACTGAAGTAAATCTTTAATGAGCATATCAAGATTAAAGCAGACTATGAAAGATATCTTCTTATTCTAAATAAGTACTCTTGTAGCGTTTTATCTCTATTATTATTTGTGATATTTTGCTCTAATGTTCCACTTCTATTCTTCTATCTCTTTTTATATTAATATTCACTCTCTATTCACCTCTCTCTAATTCACTCAGAGGTCTTAATCTTTTCTATATTTTCTATTCTATGCAGTCACTCCTATCATATAAAGTGATTATAGTGTGTATATATAGCAGAATGTCTACTTATCTTATTAGAAGAGAATCAGATATGATTTATTTTATCTATTCAATTGCTTGTATATATCAAATTAATAGCATGTTCATATCTCTCTAAAAGATTCAAGATTCACTGAATCAATCAATATTTAAGATACACATCTGTAAAGGGTTAAGCTCTAAGAACTAGAGGCTAGTCCTCCTATATAACAAGGACGAATTGCTTGAGAAAGGGAAGAAAAGAATGAGATGAGAACTCGAGCTTAAGCAAGCTCACATAGCATGATCATGTGCACACATGCAAATGATGGCTAGGCTGAGTCAGCCAGCCAGAGTGAATCTAGGGGTTCAACCTCTTATACTACCCCTCTTCTCCCTCTTTGTTGCAGGCCTTTATGACTATTTAAAGTCCTCTTTACACCTAATTTTGTCTGCTGAGAGGCCTCCCAAGTGTTCAAGGCCTTCACTTCTTGTAGGAGACTCATGTCATTCCACATAGGCTCAGCCCAACCTACCCATTTAATGAGGTATTGCTTTTTCCTCTGGTAGGTTTGTTCATCACAAATTTCCTCAATCTCAAACTCAGGTCCTTCCAGAGTCTCTATAGTGGGTGGCTGCCAGTCAGTTTGCCTCTGACTAGGCAGGGGATCTGTCACTGCAGCATGTAGAAGCTTTACATTAAAGACATTGTGAATGCTGGGTGGAATGTTCAGTTGATAAGCATGAGATTCTATCTTTTCTAGCACAGTATATTGATTGTATTTCATGTCCAGCTTCTTGCACAGATGATTAGTTCCCATGTTCTCTAAGCTCAACCAGACCTTATCTCCAGGTTGAAAGCTTGAAGCTGGGTCTCTTCATCTATTCATGTATTTCTCTTGAGATTGCTGAGCATCCATCATTTTTACTTAAGCCCACTTCAACACTTCATAAGCCTTCCTCATGTAATCATCTGCAAACTCAATGGGATTACATGGTGTTTCAACAGGGGGTGCATTGACTATATCAATGAAGAAGACATGGAAAAGATGTGTTAAAAAGAACAGACTCACATCTGTTGAGGCAGCATCTCTATTATTAATGGCCAGCTCTGCTAGAGGAAGCCATTCACACCAGTTATTCTGTTGAAAGCTAACATACTTGTGTAGGTAGATTTCCAGAGTCTGGTTCATTCACTCTGTCATCAGTCTCTGGGTGATAGACTGTGGAGAGTCATCTCTTAATGCCTAATTTCTCACACATCTGAGTTCAAAACATGCTTGTAAAAGCTGATCCTTGATCTGACACTATCATCTTAGAGATGCCATGTCAAGAAATGATGTTGTGAAGGAACACTCTAGCCACTGTCTCCACATCAGTTTTCTTAACTGCTTTTAATATAACTCTCTTGATCAGTCTGTTCATTATAATCATGATGTTCATGTATTCTTTAGAGCTCAGTAAGTCCATGATAAAGTCCATGGAAAGCTTCTGCCACATGCATTCAGAAATGAAGAGAGGCTTAAGCAGTTTCTGATGTTGATCTCTTCATGCAGTGTTTGATCTGCAAAGATGGCAGTTTCTGATCATTCTTCTCACATCAACAGCATAGCCTGGCCAGTAGAACTCATGTCTTAGAACTTTTGCTGTTTGCTCTCACTCAGAATGACCAGTAAGAGATGAGTCATGAGCCTCATGCACTAATCTGATTTGAAGAGGTTCAAAGTTTGGCACTCATTTACAATCTTGAAAGAGAAGCTCCTCATTCTCATTTAAAGAGCACTCAGAGACAGAGGTCTTAATGCTGAGTTCAGAAGAAAATCTGAATCTTTCCTCACAAAGAGTTTGCTTCAGATGCTGCAGAATCTTGTCATTTTTGCAGATCTCATTCCACTGAGCTTGAAGAGACATCTCAGATTTCACACTGGCAGCAGCCACTATTGATTCCATTCCAGATGCCAGTACATTAAACTTAAGTAGTTGAGCTTGCCTCTGCTTGATCCTCTCATCATCACCACTCTGTGGCATGTTCTGCTCTCTTCATGATAGAGTGTCCAGTCCAGCATTCAACTTCTCTGACTGGTAATCAATTCTGAAGTTGAATTGATAGAGAATATCCATTCAACATAGCTGTCTTTCATTTAGTCTGTGTGTAGTCATGAAGTATTCTAGATTCTTATGATCTGTGAGGATCTTGAATTTCTTTACACTTTGTAGCTCAGTGTTCCATTTCTTTAAACACTCAATTATCACTAATAACTTCTTATCATGAATCTCATAGTTGCATTCCGCAGGTGAATGCTTGTGAGAGAAGAAGGCACATGGGTGTAGAATACTCTGCTCATCATATTGTAGCAGCACTTCTTCTGAGATGTAATCTGAGAAGTTCATTTCCAATATAGTCTCACAGTCAGAGTTGAATTGAAGCAGGATTGAAGTGGAGATAAACATTGATTTTAGATGCTTAAAAGCTTCCTCAGCCTTGCTCATCCACAAAAAAGAAATATTCTTGCATGTAAGAATCATCAGTGAGGTCATGATCTTTGAGAAATCCCTGATAAATCATCTATAGAAATTGGCAAAGTCTAAAAATCCTTGTACATCTTTAAGAGTAGTAGGTGTTGCCCATTTCAAAACAGCTTTAATCTTCTCAGAATCCATTCATATACTCTTGCTCACTTCAATGATGAATTCAAGATATTTTGTGCTGTTCATCTCAAACTCACTCTTTCTGATATCTGCCTGCAGGCCTGCTTCTCATAGATGCATAAGCATCTTTTGTACATGCTTGCAATGCTCCTGTAAGCTTCTTGAGGAAAATATCAAGATGTCATCTAAATAGACTGAGCAGAAGTCGTCCAGATATTCACATAATGCCCAGTTGATATATTTTTGAAATGTGCTCAGAGCATTGGCCAAACCAAAGAGTGTAACCAGCCACTCAAATAGCCTGTATCTGGTTCTAAAGACTGTCATCCACTCATCACCTTCTGTGATTCAAATCTTGTGAAAAGCTGCAATAATGTCCAGCTTAGTGAATTATTTAACCTGTCCAATTCACTGTAGAGTCTCACTGATTAATGGTAGAGGATATCAATCCTTTCAGATGATTTTGTTAAGAGCTTGATAGTTCACACAGAATCTTAGCCCATCTTCAGACTTCTTCACAAATAGTACAGAGGCGGCTGCAGAGGAGTTGCTCATTCTAATAAAACCCTTATCTAGATAATCTGTAAGAGTCTTTCACAAAGCCAGTAGTTTCTCTTGAGACATATTATATAGTGGGCCTCAAGGAGGTTGTTCCACACTACCATCAGCCTTTTTAATCAGTTCAATTCCATGATCTCTACCTGGGCCACAAAGTGGGGGTAGAGTGTCAGTGGCTTCCTTATCAAATATGTCCAAAAACTCATGATAATGTTCAGGCAGCTTTTCTCTAGAGTCAATCTTTGATTTCACTTCTAGAGTCTTTTGAATGTCAGCCAAGCTGACAGTGAAGATCTTGATGTTTCACTTCTCTTGAGTGCTCACAAGCCTAGAGAAGCTTACAGCAGAGATGGGAATCACATCAGCTTTTGCATTTGAACTAGGCTCTACCTCTATGCCACTCTCTTCAAATCTTACAATTCTTCAATGAGGGATCACAGTCACCTTTTGCTGGGCCAGCCAGGGGTCATCTAGATACATATCATGATCATGTAACTCAATCACCATGTAGAGAAAGATCTGTTCAGTTACATGATCATCTATATCAATTTGAATGCCAGTCACTATGCTCATGAAGAGTCTCATGGAGTCTTCAAAGCCAGTCATTTTAACAGAGAGAATTTCAATGCACAGAAGCTTATGCTTGTTAACATAGAATTGAGAAATAAGACCATAGACATTACATCCACTGTCTATCATTGCTCTAGTTGAAAAGGCATTATCTACTAGAGCATCAACAGTGAAGGATTTGAATATCATCTTAGATTTAAATCCTCTTCATTGCTTCTTTGTAAGCTTCTTATTTTGCTCCTTCCAGTGTCTTTTGATTGAAGCTACTCTTTTTTCTGAATCCTCACTTGTATCCACATCATCATTGTCCAGTACCAGCTCAGGGATCACCTTAGCTATTGTGGGGGTGGCAGAGCATCTGAGAGGTTTGAACAGACAGCTCTTAATCATATGACCTCCAGCTCTGCATCTCAGGCACAGACCTTGCTCTCTTCTTCAATTAACCTCTGTCTGATTTATCAATTTGGTGTGATGAGCACTTGAGGTCACAGCACCAGGAGAGAGATTCATCAGATCATCAGTGAAAGCTTGAGACTGATTTTGTTGATTGAGAACAGCATGACAAAGTAGAGAGTGTGGATTAGACATTGTATGATCTGAAGAAGATCTGCCCTCACAATGTTTAGACCACTGCCTTAGAGTCTTAAGCTCAGAGAGTTGATGGTCAACTAATCTAAGCTTCTTGCAGTAATTCTTGTAGAGAGATGATTCCCTTACACCCATCATGCCTTCCCTCAGCTCCATGCTTAGGGCAGATTTCAAATACCTCTTTTTAACACAATCATCTCATCTGTGACCACCAGCTTCCAGCAGTAGCTGATTAAATTCAGGCAGAAAGTTGAAGAGAGCTCTTCTACTCTGTCATAGATTGTTGAGCTTTTGCATAGCCTTTTCCTGTCATGTGAGATCACTAAAGAGCATGTGTGTCTGCTTCAGTAAGCTCTCTACTGTGAAGTTGATCTTGTTCTTATTATTCTCAACTCAGAAGTAAACTCAAGCTGCTGCCATTTCTTCCAGTCTTGAGTACACATACCAAGCACATTTCTCATTATTGTCTAAAGCTTTCCCATTGATCTTAAGCTTTGATTGAAGCTTTAGCTCCCACTGAGGATAGTGCTTCAGATTAGAACCATCATACTTCTCACAGTCCAGTAGCTTGATCTTTAATCTTCTGACTGCAATGGGTGGTTGCAAGTTCAATTGAGAGAGGGTTGATGTCAGAGTGTTCAAAGCTTGTCATAGATTAGCTATTTCAGCTTGCTGAGCTGCTATTGAATCCCTGTTCTCATGCTGGACCTGTTCCTGCTGTTGAAGAAAGGCCATTCATTGTTGTTCAAAGCTGCTGAGGGTGTCCCTGCTCATTGCTTCACATTGATTCATTTGTGTATTTGTTGTACAAGTCTGCTGCTTTATCTCATTTGGCTAGATGTTTTCAATGTTGCTCATTCATTTGTTAGCACAATTGCTAACCCAGTCTATTCATATACCAGTGCTATCACTGAACTTTGTGATGCAGGATTTAAGACTCCCAATAGCCTATCATATGTCAGCACATTTGCTAAGCTTTGTGATACAGGATTAAGGCTCCCAGTGGCCTATCAATGAAAGGAGTGAAGCAATTCGTAATGTAAAGGGTTAAGCTCTAAGAACTAGAGGCTAGTCCTCCTATATAACAAGGACGAATTGCTTGAGAAAGGGAAGAAAAGAATGAGATGAGAACTCGAGCTTAAGCAAGCTCGCGTAGCATGATCACGTGCGCACGTGCAAACGATGGCTAGGCTAAGTCAGCCAGCCAGAGCGAATCTAGGGGTTCAACCCCTTATAACATCAAATTGATTCAAGATATGCTAAATCAGTCACTCTGAATCATAATCACTAGTCAGTTTGATTCATAATTGCCAGTTCAATCACTCTAAAAAAAAGCATTAGCTGTGATATTATCCTTTGAGTCAGATCTTGATTGCTTTCAAATAACTGCCTTAATCATCTTATAAAATATCAAAGATAAACATTTTCATCATTAAAATGCTTGTGTCATTCCAAT